GGTTACTGTCAGCGGATTTTGCAAGGTCCAGAACTACGTAGATTCCAATATAGTGTAGGATTCCTCTAGCCCAGAATTACCTAGATTCCAATGGAGTGTAGGATTCCACGAGTCCAGAATAACCAATATTCCAATGGAGTGAAGGATTCCTCGAGTCCAAAATTACCAATATTCCAATTGAGTGAAGGATTCCTCTAGCCCAGAATTACCTAGATTCCAATAGAGTGTAGGATTCCACGAGTCTATAATTACCTAGATTTCAATAGAGTCGATTCTCATGCAAATTTTCAAAAATTACGGTTGCAGATTCGCCTTGCAATGTAAAAAAATAAAATTAATGTCATTTTTCCGAATTTCCGTGTTTGCTCACGATTTCTGACTTCGTTCAAACTTTGTGAAAGAATGAGATATCGGAATCTCATAATTTTTTCAACACAGTCTACAGGATTTAAGAGGAATGAATGGGGAAAATCTTAGCTTTGTATCTTATATTTGAAGGGTAGATTCGCAGAACTTATTTATTTCCCCTCGTATATCAACCCGTTAAAATTTTACATCAGATGACTTTATAATTTCATATGCAGTTTATTATAAAGTGTGGTGTGATTCACTGGTTTTGAATCCTAATTCCCAGCAAGTTTCGGGGTAACAAATCGATAGTCATATTGCATTAATAACCAGCCTCTGATCATGATCAATCAATGCTTACCTTGTAAACAAAGTGTCATCATTTAAACACTTGATTGATGACCATTTGGGCCACTCTCAATTCTGTGTGGTGTAGTGTCGTGTGCTTTCGATAGTATTTATAAATATAACGGACAACATTTAATCAGCAACTCATTTAAAATTTATCAATGTCGTAAAAACTGCATCTTTCCCCGCAGTCCAATTACCCAATTCCGAATACAAGGGTGATAATAAAAGAAGCATTTTTCGCCAAATCTTCCATTTATTAACACTTATGCTAAATTCCACCAGGTCGTATTACATGCATCTCAAAAATAATCTCCTTCGAAGGAGAATAATAATTATTACGGATAGAGAATACAATAAAGTAAGAATTTTAATTTTATAACACTATGGCAAAGAGACACTAACAAAAATCTCCTCACAAAGCATACATTTATAAGATGTCTATACGGTTTGTATATTTCAATTTTTCAAGAAGCAATATTCCACTGAAATCAAGTAAAAAGAAGTATTTCCTCTATACTGTACATAGAGTTCAGATTTAGGCAATCAAAACTTAACATTTAAAATGTTTGCGCCTTAGGGAAACATTATATAAAAAAAGTTAATCACCTACTTATTGTGCGCAAATAGGTAGCGGATCTAATGGTACTCACCGTTTTTCGATAGCAAGTACCCTTACCATATGAGAACATATTTAGTGACCCTAAGACCACGGCACAAATAAACTAAACTTTTCCAAAATTTGAACAAACTCTCATTAAGCTCCATATCAATCACAAATTCGCAAAAATCAAAAATCTGAGACATCTCCTCAGAACAGAACGTTCCAAAATCACAATCTAAGACGAATATTTGAAACGCGAATTTTTGCATTTACTTGAGAGCAAGAAAACTCACTACAACGAGACAATAAAATCACACCAAATTAGAAAACTAACATCTCTTCTTGATCAGAAACCAGATCTCACCACCTCCCAACATCCAGCCCGGAGAACAATTTCAGACGGAGTCAACCATCATTCCAATACGAAAAGCGTCGTTAATTTATCATCTCGCATTCTCACGAAAGATGAAAAAGATACACTCGAACTTGGTTTAAATTTTGCCATTCCTTTTCAACGACACCAACAACTAATCATCGAAGCGGGTATCAATATTGAAATTTGTCTTCAAGATTTTGAAATTAATGACAACGCAAAAAACCAAATCCGCTCTGGAGTTGCACGCATCCTTAATAAAGAAAAGAACAAACCAGATCCAAACAAGATAAAATATGCCGATTTAACTAAAAAGTTATCATCACTTAAACACGACCCTTCCATCATAATCGTCCCAGCCGACAAAGGAAACGCCACCGTAATAATGGATAAGGACGACTATAACAGCAAAGTGATCGAACTATTATCGGATCCAACGTACCAAGTTCTAAACTATGACCCAACACACCGACTAGAACAAAAAATTAAGACCCTTTGTAAAAATCTACAAAAACTCAAACACATCTCAGAGAATGAGTATAAAAGCATCGCCCCCTCCAACACCAAATGTCCTAACTTTTATGGATTACCCAAAATACACAAAAGAAACGTTCCATTACGTCCCATCGTAGATTTCAGAAACTCTCCAGCTTATAAGCTTTCATTCTTCTTAAACAAGATTTTAAAACCAATAACTAACAACTTTCCTACAAAACTAAATAACTCCTATGAATTTGCCACAGAAATTAAAAACCTAATTGTTCCAGACGACTATGAACTAGTTTCGTTTGATGTCACCTCCCTCTGCACCAAAGTACCTATTTCTGACATACTGGAATACATCGAAGAACGTCTCCAAAATGAAAATAATTGGAAAAATCTAACCAAACTAAACTCGAAAGAAATAATTAAACTAATCACTCTCTGCATGAATTCCAACTATTTTCAATGGAAAACAACCATTTTCAAACAAACTGAGGGCACCCCTATGGGTTCTCCATTATCTCCAGCAGTTGCTGAATTTTTCCTTCAAAAACTGGAATGGCAAATTATTATAAAAAATCAAAAAAAAAAATTATAAAAACATCAAATTCTTCAAACGTTATGTGGACGACTGTTTTGGATGTATTAAGTTCAGCACCGAAAATATTCTGAATTCACTAAATTCGTTCCACCCCGCTATCAAATTCACAATTGAACGTGAAAACAACAACAAATTACCATTTTTAGACGTTTTAGTAACAAAAACCAACCAAGGTTTACTCCAACGCCAAGTATACCGGAAACCAACACACACAGGACGTTACTTAAATTTCCAGTCTTACCACCATCACTCTCACAAAATCTATGTGATCGACTCACTCCTCTATAGAGCGCTTATCATCAGTGATCCAGAGTTTTTAGAAGATGAAATAAAATATGTCACTTCAAACCTTAAATCAAATGGATATCCTGAGAAAATCATTAAACAACGTCTTATAATAATGAAAACAAGAATAGCAAATAGAGTACACAATCAAAGTCAAACACAAAATTCCACACCACGGATGATTCTCCCATTCATGGGCCCACTAACCTATAGACTCACTGCTTATTTGAGGAATAAATTAAATTGTGATTTTGGCTATATTCCAGGACGCAAAATCAAAAATATGATCTGCAATCACAAATATACTGACAATTCCAAAGGATGCGTAGGCGTGTACAAGATTCCATGCTCCTGTCCATCCTCATATATAGGAGAAACTTCACGCCCCCTAAAAACCAGATTGAGAGAACACGAAGGAGATGTTAAAAACAAAAATCCAAAATCTGCCGTGGCATCCCATCTTATTCAAAACAAGAACCACATCATAAATTTCGACTCTGCAAGTCTGATTTTTCACGAAACGCGTTATTTCCACCGGATATTTATGGAGAGCTTATACATCCAGAAATCCGAGCACACCATGAATCGAGACAAAGGACTGGATATCAATCCAATTTGCTCGTCGCTAATGTTACCACTTGTTAAAATACCATAATTGTAACAATTTTTGAGAACTTGTAAAAATTTAAAAAATATTTGTCAATCCTTTCTGTCCTGATGACGACAACAACTGACTTGTCGAAAGCTTGACTCAATAAGAAAACTAAACACTGTTTTCACAATCCGGCATCCATGTCCTCCGTTTATTTATCTCCTAAACTGAACTTTAAAAAAGGATTGCTTAGGTGAGTAACAAAGTTTCAGTACTATCAGCACCAACGCTCTGTGAACATTTTCTTACTGGATGTCAAATTATTAAGTTGTTTTGCATTCAAGCTTTATTACAAAACTGCAACAACTTATAAATTACAATTACATCAATTATATTCGATTAATTAGAAGATCTTGTTGTGTACAAATACTACGTGAAGAAAATATTCACAGGGACTTGGTCCTGGTAATATGGAAACTATGTTAGGTATGTGAGATTTTATTTAATCCTTTTAATTGCATATCCTACACTCACATAAACAATCTTTTTTTAAGGTTTAGTTTATTTTGAACTTTTACTTGGTATCAATGAGCACTACATGAACACAATAAAAATCTGGGGGGAAGTGTCAAAAATTATTGAAGTTATCAAAATTTGTTGAAAATTGAAATTGAAAAGTTATAAAATGTGATCACTCTTGAAACCATCACTGAAACTTTGTTCGGCATTTTTTACGTAACTATGTCATCTCATTAAGTGGTTATTGCTACGCAACCAGTGCTCAATTAATTATACGCAACAGGACTTTTTCCTCACCAGAATTTTTTTTTCATTTTTCAACCGAAAATTTTAAATCAAAGATAATTAAATTTATTACACTTTGTGCCATGCCCTTTTTCCATTTTGGCCATCAAATTTTTATAATATGCCAAAAATCCACCACAAGGACGGTTTTTCGCAAATAACTAAGTAACTAAAAGAAATCTTGGCTGTCAATTCCGAATTAGATTTAACCCAGAGTCATAAATGAGTCTGGGTCCTTATTCGATCAAAATCGGTTGATAAATGACGATTTTAGGGACTCTGGTAACTTTTCAGGACCCGAGTGAAAGCATACTCACCTAAGAAAAAAGGTCAATAGGTCAATTCATAAATTAAATTTCGAAAACCGTATGCTTGCCTAGAAATTTGGTAAGACTCCTCATGCTTTTTACCGCATCCTCCTATGTCATAAGGCCATACCCCCACACGGACCATACTACACTTCCATGTGCATGAAAGTAAATTGGGAAAAAGTATGTGAAAGTGAAAGTGCTTTCACAACCGAGTCAATCCTCTCCCCGTCCACCACACATAAAACATACAACCATGATCGATTTTCTCCACTTTCACATTATCCTTCGGAACGACGCAGCTGTTATTTTTCTACCTTTGCAAAAATGGGGGATAGTAAATATAACGTGGTGTCGAAATTTGTAGCAGTTTTGGATTTGGTAAATAATTGGTTCCACTAAATATTCATTACATATTAACCGTCAGTTATTAATTTAAGATCGTCGTACATATGTACAAATTATAAAAATGGAGTAAATCTCTTTGTTGTAATTTCAAAGAAGAACAAAGTTCTTACAAAACAATAAAATATTTTTGAAATTAATACAAAAGTATACTTTGTTTAAAAAAATTGGTTTACATATTTTACGTAATTTTATGTAATTTTCATAGTTGCTCTCAATCGCAATTCTTCTCTGGATTGGGTGAAACATTTTCCTCGGGGATGAGTTTTTACGTTTGTCAAGTGACGGGAAGAAGAAGAAGGAACAGACAGATAAGATTCCAAGTTGGTAGTTGTAATGCAATATTTATGTATATAATTTTGTGGAGCTTAATAATTTCATACTTTTTCAGTGGTGGTAATTCCAACGTTATCCTTGATTATTGGTGGGTTGGGTGTTATTTTTGCTATACGACTACTTAATGCGACAGACTCAGAGGTATGCAAGTATTTATGTATGTATGGTCAAAATTTTAAAATTAGACGCCTTTTCTATAAGCAATGCGTACAAAAAGGGTATAATTTTACGATTTTGACGCATAGAGTCAAACTAATTACATATTTGAATTCAGCATGAAATTCGAAACATTTTCATATTCGACTTGGATTTCCTAAGGTCAAGATTTTAAAATTAGATTCTTTTTTGTATTCATTGCTTATAGTAAAGGCGTCTAATTTTAAAATTTTTACCATACATACATATTTGTAGCATTCAATATTTCCGAGATATTGATTCATATTCTTAGGATATTTATGTTAAATCGTTACCCTATGGTATACGATTCAACCCTAAAGATTGTCCCCACTTTGTATAAAGTTTACACCACGTGGTATAAATTTTATATAAAACGGTGAAATTTTACCCAAAGTGGTAACAAAAATTACACAATATGGTAGAATAATAACTACATATACGCATTCCAGACGGTGATGATTTAACAAAATTTTCCTAAGAATATATCCTTAACATAAGTAAATTTCGAGTTCCTTGGGACAGCATTGAGTATTAAATATACAAATTAATGGATAATACATACACATTTATGGTGCAGGTCACTACTGCTATGACACAAACTCACAAACGGGGAACGATTCGGAATTGGATTAAAGTTTCGATATGTATATGTATTTTTATATTGATTCTGGTTACAATAATTGCCATAATTTCCGGGGGGTTAAGTCCAACTATTGTTGGAGGTTCTGTGGTTGTTATATTGTTTAAAGTATTTGGGATTTCGGTAGTCTATTTATTTTACAAGGATTTAGAAATAAACAGTGATATTGAAGGGGTCGACTGATAAAAATAAATGTTTGGAAAATCCAAAAAGTTTCCTGAATGTGGTAATTATTATTTATTCTCAGCATTTTTGTATGTATGCACTTATTCTTGGACTTAAAAAATTAAAGATTTTAATTTCAATAAATTAGCTAAATGTGTTTACAAAAAAGCTGAACAAGGTGTGATACCCTCAATATTAAAGTCCAATAGAAATGTATGTAAATATTGATAAGTAAATATGTACTTTTTCATAAATTCAAAGCTATGTAGCTTTATATTTAACAATTAGGATTACCCAACCTCAAAATTGGCACGCAACCCAACCCAACCCAACCCTTCCTGTTCAGCGTCAATCTCAGACAAATACTTTTGACTAAGGGTCCACAACTTAAGGGTGTATATAGCATCATTGTTTTGATACCACGGTACGGAATAATTTAAAAACTCTTTAGCCAAGTACACAGACAAGGAAATACATTTTGTACTTACAAACAGATGACCCTGAATTTCGTGATGTCACTGAATATAGAGGGCTGTTGTGCATGGAACGGTGCAGAAATTTATGATATTTTCATGCAATAAAAATATTCGCGCATTTACAAAAATATCTGTAATGTACCAGCAAAACCAAGAAGCACATATGTACATATGACAGGGCACATATTTATTATGTTGAACCTTTCATTTTTATCTGATCCACGCTTTTGGCACATTCGATGAGACGCATAACTCGCGACAAAGTATGCAGCTAAATATACCTCAAAAAATGAATCAGCCACCCGACATTAAATATCCACGTGTGACGACATCCTCTGCAAAGTTGGGACAGGATGTCCTTTCAGCTCTTCGTATTACGAGATTACTAGTGGATTTGGAGTAATATTCCGTCATATAAAATGTTCCAGATTCAGTTTTTTACCAGTATCATTTTGAAAACACGGGTCATTTGGAATGCAACCAGAATGCCGTGAGACAGGAATGAGGGGATTTTTTATGCCGATTTTTTATGACTGCAGTTTGTTATTTCTCTTCCTGTCGTTAACAACTCCACATCTGCTCAGTACGAAGTCGGAAACCTGTGTAGACATACACAACACGTACATATGTACGTTTAATTCCAGCTTTTTTCGCAAATCTAAATACAAATTACTACGAAGCGTGTAAAATTTGGCATAAATCTATGAAATTTTTGGTAATAAACATAAATTTTTTGCACATTAGAATTTAGCACAATTTGCCATGTCCACATCCCCTTACCTCACCCCAGAAGGCCCCGCTCCAAGGGAGAGGAGGCGTTCATCATCTGCAATTTCCAGTGGACTTGCGGAAGTAACGTTTGGAAAGGACAAATTCATGGTGAGGGTTTAGCAGTAAATTTTATTTTCTCTTTCTTATGATTTGTGGAATTTTATGTTTCCGACTATTTTTAAGTGAAAAGGGAAAGATTGGGGAAATTTGAAAAATCAAAATGTTGGAAATTGCTGGTGTATGTACATATGTACATACATCAAATTCTCTCATTTTTTTGAAAAGATGAAAAATTGTCAATTTTTCCATCATTCTTCAATGAAATTCCTGAGTGAAATTCTCTCCGGAAATGGCGATTACACTCCTGCATTTCTTACATGTACTAAATTCTACTTTCAGGTGGAGCTCAGTGTTGAGAATTACACACCGGACGAGGTTTCCATTTACTGTGAAGATGGGAAATTATTTGTGGTTGGGAAAAATGAGAAGAAAAATCATCCAAAAGATACAATTCTCAAGTCCTTCAATCGTAAATTTAACATACCTGATGGAATGGACGGAGCTGGGTTAAAGTGGGAGTTGAGCAAGGATAAAGTCTTGTCAATTACAGTGCCAAGGAAACAAAGTGAAAAAACGTAGTCATACTTGTTACTTTTTTTTATTAGACACTTCATTTTATTAAATGCTTATCATTCTGAGGTTAGTGTTTGAAATTTGGTTAGCCGTACATGATTAATTCAAGCTGATAGTCCAGATAATAAAAAAATAATTTTTTTATCTATAATTAAAATTACCTACGAGATAGGGTGGTGTTCTTCATGAGAGGACAATATAATTATGCCGTCATGGGTAGGAAGTTCCTACTAGGACCTAAGCATTTGTCCGCTCCTTCTACTTGATGACCACGTTAGAGATACGAATTGTTTATTAACTAAATATAAAATGTAGTATAAAAATAACTTAGCCTAATATTTGGTTAGTCATGCATAGTAAGTAAAAAATTAGTAGCATCATAATCGTAAATTAATATCGATTTTATTATCGGTAATTGAATAAAACTTAAATCTCTCCCATTTATCATAAAATTTAGAAATCAGACTTTTATTTAGACTAGTTGCATAAAATTCAGTCAAGATCCGACCATACAACAAGTGCCGGAATGAGGTGATCAAAATTACCAGAATAATTATTTAATTTGTGAACAAAGCATTGATAAATAGCATAATAAGCTTAAAAGATCACCACCAGCATGCCTTGTGTCGTGGAGAAATGCGTCCTCGAAATCCCGTTCGCATATATCTACGTTTGTCAACAGCATAGCAACCACTTGCCGTAATTCTGTGACATGTATGCAAATTAAGTAATGGCCTGTTTTTGGCCTCTGAACACTACAAAACGGGTAGCAATTGTCATCGTAAATGTTCATAGATTGTGCACGTGAAGGGGTCAATCCTACACCATGCCAAAACTTACAAACGACATCTTTCTCTGGATTGAATATCCAGGTCCTCGCCAAGCGTTCCCACTGTGGGAGCGAGCAAAAATCTCAGTCTAAATCTTTCCATGAAATATTATTATGGCATGGTAAGCAGTGAAGATTGCAGTCTTCCTGTCTAAACTGACTGTCTAAACTGAAGTTCGTGCGTGAAAGATTGAGGGAATTCCGAGCATCGGGTTACTTGACTCGGTAACCATGGCGACCAGTTCCACATGTTTCTGCCGTTCGGCTAACATGTGCCGGTGTGTTGCTACGGGCAACACATTTAATTTAGCTAAATATTCCCCACTAAATAAATCTCTTATTTTTCTAATATTGCACCTAATTAAATAATTATGACTGATATTCCCAAAAACAAAACTACTACTAATATACAGGTTATGAGGATATTCCGTACTGCTCACCATAAGTCTTCCACCAAGCAGCTGGCACACTTATTACCCGTGATTGATCTGAGGAGGATGCTGCTTTATCAATTTATTTGAAATAATGTTTAATGGAGCAACGATTTATTGAAGAAAATACATAAAATAAGGATAAAATTCACATCAGAGGTCGACGCCGACCAATTTTCAGCGGCGGCGGCGCCAACTTTTGGTGATTTTTCGGCGGCGTCGGCGGCGCGGCGCGGCGTCCTAATGTTAAAGGTATAGGAAATCGGATTTATCGGCGGCGGCGGCGCCTAAAATGCTACCGGCGTACGGCGCGGCGGCGGCGTGAGATCGGCGGCGTCGACCTCTGATTCACATAGAGGTACTTATTACTATTTCAACTTTCTCAGTCTTTTTAATAATGTATTTATAAACATCAATAAATTTGTGAATAAATAAACATAAACAGTGAATTAAAATTTGATATGTATGACATGTTACAAGGTTTGTATGGATACTTAAATTTGCTATATGTACATGCATATTTGTTCTACGTACCTGTTATAAAAGGAGGGACATGTCGGTAAATCAGACTTTGTGGCATAACGCCTCCTAGAGGGTGAGGATATTTGTGCAAACTATGCGCCCTTAGAGAGAAAGATGCTTATTACTAAACTTAAGGGAAGTTGGGACCAGGGTTCGCCACCTCGGGTTTTTGTGGGTTTTTACAATAATTAAAAATTACCCCGACGAAAAAAAGTCAGATTTCCAAATAAAATATCAGTGTCATAGAGTTCTTATAAGTGGAGCGGAAATCTGTGGCCCAGATTCATGACCGTATGCTTAGTGTAGGGTGAAGGTGACCTTCAAGAAACGCTATATACAACTACTACAACTCTAATAAATTTATAAAGGGGTTGAAATCCGTGCTGAATCTGCAACCTCGAAAACGTCCGAAAACAGGGGGTACATCTGAAAACTTTCTGAAATAGCAAAAACTGGACATGTTCGGCAGGAGATCCAGATTGTCTCAACTAGCTACATATATGGGCATTCTAAAAATAACGATTTGTTCTGTGTTGATTGCAGATGTGGAAGTAAAAAAGATATACGCCTGTTGGGTTACTAATTTATTTCGCCGTCTCAAAAACAAACACGTATGCTTACGTAGTTACAAAGAAAATTTGGATCTTTCAAATGACAATTGAAATAGTGTGCATGCACGGGTAAGTGCGGATGAAACTTGGGTTTGTTATTAAACATGTTCATTTAAAAAAAAGAGGTTCATTTGATGGGACCCTATATCAACAAAATGAACATAGGTATATATCTAGCACCATGCTGTACGAATCTGTGTAGCAGTGAAACTTGGGTTAATTTTATAAAAGGAAATACATGTGCTTTGTAACCAAGATTTATGATTTTTCAATTTCTGATTATTAAACGATAGCATAATGTTTAGAACGTTACCAAGTCCTGGATACGTATGTAGAAAATATGCAAATAAATATACACATGCATACGTAGGGAAACTTTAATAAATCACATAACGCCAAATCTAATACTTTTTATCCACCCTCCCTTCTTAACATTTTTCATGATAATTAGAACCTCACATCCCACCAAATCCCCTCCCCATCTCGCGTTATGAACATCGTCTCATGCCATGATATACACCGTGTCCCAAAAGTATCTGCGCATCACTCGCGCGCGCGGTTTTCATCCACTTCTTCCCTTACATCTTTTGTGTTTACTTTTATTTTTAAACATTTCTTGACCCAATGGCCTCAAATGTCATGCAATCTCGTGCATATACGAGTGAGGATGCAAACATTATCACAAGAAGAATAACCTGTCGAGCGCAGATACATTTGGGACACGGTGTACATGAAAGAATACATAAATTCTAAATATCTAACACCGTGAATCTTATAAATGTTTACTAGTTTCCTGTTCTACTTGTGGGCTGGTAATATTCAAGTCTACCCGAAAACAAACACTTTAATTATGCAGATTATCGGGGACGCATTCTATTCCATTATGTATACAAACTATACCCATTGTAACCATTCTGTTAAAAGTCCAAGCGATTCCATTCATAAATCCAACAAGCCAGAATTCTTAAATAATTATGTACACGCGAATAGTTTGTACCTACCGTAACTGTAGTAAATAGCGTAGGTTTACAGAATTTACTCCAGTTAATTGCCACGCATACGAAGTTAACGCATCTTTTCCGTTTCGGAAATAATTTCGTATACGTATTCCCTCTATTTCATCTCCATTACTCGTAATTCCATCGTACCCGTTGTAAGTTACGATTCGTAACTATGACTTAAATATGTATGTTACTTTTCAAAGCCTACTTTTGGTAAGTACACGAAGCGTTTTCATGATAAAAATTCGTTTACTTTTACGAATCTTACGACGCTTACATGTGCACACTATTTGAAAAGCCCTAGTATTAATTAAATCATCCTTGAATCATTTATGTTACTCCAAGTATGACAATGATAACCAAAACGAAATAAAACAATACTTTCGGTAAACTTTATTCTTGCTGCTGCTAAATAATTAATCAACAAAATCCGGTCTGACGCATGATCTGGCATGGATAAACCATGTCGGACGGACAAATCAATACATACACGTGGCTGATATACAACTCGACTTTTGCTGTCAAAAATATTATTATCATTTAAGGAAAACGTTGGCGGATGACATAGATATATATATCTGCACGAAAGAGGGTAATTTGTTAATGCGACATATCCTTTGCTTGGAACACAGCTTGCCTATTATTCTTCCCAGTCTTCATGTAAATACTTGCGGTTGCTACATAGCTTTATATTCCATACCAAATCTATATTATTAACTCTGACCATATTACTTACTTATTTCATACTTATTCCCTTAACAACCTCCTTAAAGATCCAGACCAAATTTCCTTTTCAAGTTTAACAAACATGCCTCTCAGGAACATAATATCACACAAAACTACTAACACCCCAACAAGTAAATCCCCTTTTAACTCGGGCCTTGTAAAAAAATTCATTCGAATTATTTACCTCCACTATAAATCCAGTTACATCCCTTTCATCCAGGTTTTATTGCTATTCGAAACATTCAGTCGATTCCTCCCAATCCATTATGAGTATGCTTCCTCTCAAATTTCTACCTGGAGACAAAACCGACGTCATCTCGTGGCATATCTGACTTCTCAATTTATTATCTTCCTTCACATCCTTGTTTTCCTGGAATGGTTCTATCTCCACCCGTTCGCAAATGTTGACCTTTGGGAGTCCGTTGTCGTCATCTATTACTTACTAATTTTTAGTTTTACCCTCATTTCAGGATTCCTTTTTGACACGAGATCCGCAGAGTTGAGACTTCTCATAGATGCATCGATACCAATGGAGACGAAATTAATGTCAGTTTCACACCGTGGAGATAGTACGCCTCTTGGTACCGAATTCTTGCCAAAGGTTCTCTTTTCCGCGGTAATTTTGAACACGCCTGTAGTCCAAGGAGTGGGACTATTACTTTGTATCTTCTTCCCCTGCATGCCACCCCTGATAGCGATGCGATCAGAGCTATGTTCCAGCTGGGTTGTCCATGAAATTTCCCCCCTGGAGAAAATAATGACTTGGCTTTTTACCGCGGCATCTTGGTCGTCCGTTATTGGAGTCACATTCACATCATTCATCATAGCCTTGCTGTATCCTACGCTGGTGGTTGAAATGTGGATTAAGCATTCCAAATTGTACGGGATTAATAAATTTGTCAGATTTTTTTCTGATGCATATTACGATTTATATTTCAGGATGATGGAAAATTACGCGGAATTGGGAGCGACCAACTTTCGAAATGCTCAGGTACTCTTCAACCTCTACTCTTACGTCATGGCGACCCCAATGGCAACACTGTTAATGGGAACTGCAATGATTGCCGAGGTTACGATACTTTATGCGCTTGTCAAGTCCGGGACTCTTATTCCACCCGTGGTGGCCGCATTGTTCGCTGTGATTGCGCTTGACTTCTTTCTAATAATTCAAATAGTGTTCAAAATGTTGAGAAGACCATATGTGGCTTCAATGAGGTTTAAAGAGAATGGAGCGAGTTTGAAAATTAGGGGAAAGTGGTTCAATCGATTTATGAAATCATGCTCCCCTGTCAAAGTTCCAATGGGGGATGGTAATTTCTTTGATAGGAAGAGTGCTATTGTTATTTGGAATGTTTGTATTAATCAGCTAGTTACGCTCTTGTTGCTTTAGTATGTTACATGATTGGTAAAAAAGTGATACATATTCTACTCAACCTATTTTATGTAAATTTTCCCACATCTGCGTCTAGCTTCTATGCCCATGTCATTTATGAATTGTGATTCTCAATCCTCTTTCAAACCCATGTCCCTTTAAAGTCTGCATTGTTTACTCGTGTTCTATGAAATCCTAATAATTTATTTGTATGTATTTATAGCCGACAACATAATTTTCCATGTTGGCCATCAATTTATGTATGTATATGTGAAGGCAAAAATTAATACATGTGTATATGAAGGTACCTTCGTTGCATTTCTGCACATATTATACATACCCTATGTAGAATGATTTGTGTAAGTATGAATGCATGCAAAAGCTCAATTCCCTGTATTGGGCACCGTGGGAATACATAGGTGAATTGGTTTAAACCACACCAAACCTTGGATAAACCTTCGCAACTAAAATTAGTCGCTGCATTTTTACAGAATTGTTGACTTGCAACTTATACTCTATTTATTCGTATACATGTAAATAAATATGTACTTGTGTCTAGTTCTCCTGCCGTCCTCGAATCTGGAAGTTTGTCCATCTTACATACTCATAATATGTACGTACATAAAAATAGGCAACAAACAAATCCTACACACGAGTATATTGTATCACGGTGTACAAAAAGGGATTATTTCCGACGCAGATTCGTGTCGCCCCATTTTACGTGGTAAAAATATTTTCAACTACATTTGAAAAAATATATGTAATAATTTGATTAAATTCTTCTGGAAAATGGTCATGCACAATATCTTTAATTAAAATGTTGTTATTTTACCATATTGTGATAACTTTAGGCACTAGGCACTTATCATATGAGGAAACTTCTCTCCAGTAATTGTACAAGTCTTGTAGCACATTATGCATGCATGTGCTATATTTTTATGCTAGCCGGCGTAGGAGTTCAGCTGGATTTAAATGTGTATATCTATACTTATACAAGTGCATTTACATATGTAGTAGAGCGCAATTCACTGGACGGTTCTGAAGTTCTGAATATATGTCCAACCAGAATTAACACGTTAATCCTCCAGATTCCTGGTATACGTTCATACGTGCATCTTTATTTGTGAACATTGAACCTTGGACGTTGTTTTGGATTTGCCTTCCATGCCCTCCGACAAACCTCATGCCCTCCGACCTCCTGCCCTCCACCCTCCGGAGGTCGGAGGGTGGAGGGCATGAATTTAGCCAATTATGTGCATAAAGCTGGCCAAAATTTTCACCTGGGTAAGCCCACCAAGCACAGAGTACTCCGACCCACGATACAAACACGCAATTCCAATCATGTTGAAATTTCCTGGATTTTAAAAACTTCTTGAACGTGTTATTTGTCGCTTGTTTAATTATTTCCAACCTTACAAGCGTCTCTCGAGAACTTTTAATTTTTTTGTGCAATCACAAGAAGAAACAAAAATTTATCATTTTGCCTCCCAACGAATTCCAAACTCACAAAATGAGTAATCAAGTTTAAGTGAATAAAATCAAATTTGCATATTAATAATTAATTTAATAATTACGGAAGTCTCATTTTATCCAATCATAGTGCCAACAAGAGACAACCGTAATGAAGAATCACGTCTTTTATATGCTCATATTTTTCCTGCCCGACAACGTTTGGAACTCCCCTCGTACATTATCTACATTATGTGTCTGTGTACCCATGTACTACACATACACACAAAATAGCTGAATTGTATTCAACTGGAAGCGCAAATATTGAATAGAATTCTATATTTACACAGATTAAAACCTAGCCTCAACAAATAAGCAAACCTTGTAAAAGCTTAGATTTTCTAGGAAATCTTGTAAAGGTTCTTATTTAACCAGCACTGACTGCTACATAGGATTACATATGTATGGATTCAGGGTTGATGCACCCCAACCAAACTCCTACAAGTGCACACTTGTAAATACATATTTCGTCACCTTTTCCCTCACCCCTCGTCCTTTCGAGGAACTACGCCGGAAACCTGCCGTCACCTGAGAAACATCAACCTTTTCATTTCCATGGAAAGGTTTCATACCAAATGTGTCCAAATTGGGATCGATCAAGATAGAACTCATACCCTTTCTCTCCCTTTCTTTGGCTCACTACCACTCCAATCTTGCAAAGAGAAGGTCCCTCTACACATACAAGTTCTCCCAATACAAAATTACGTTCATATATTTCCACACATAGTTATAAAACGGCCATATTTATTGCAATATTGCACACCAATTTTAATATTAAAATATTACTCAACCTACCAATTTTTGCAAGTTTGCTATATTATCAAAAATGCCGCAACTCTGTCTCGTCTGGTAAGTTTGGTGTATGTATACTTACACATTTTTCGATTCATGGTAAATTTTGTAATTCAATAACCCAAAATTAATGCATCACTTGAGTATTATTAATTTCTAAAATAAACATAAAAACCTATTTAATTCTCTACGGGGCCTTGTATCTGATCGATTTTAGCCGAATTTTTGACCAATAGTCTCCACAAAGTTGGGCTACATAATTTCAAGCATTTTCATGTTAAATTCCCCATATTTTTTTTAAACTAACAGTCCCAAATATATTTAATTACAGGCTAGATTATGAACAAACACCAGCCGGGCTTGGCTGGGTGGTCACCATCGATGGGTTGGACCGCTATCAGGTTAAAGATTTCGAGGACCTGCAAGGTGAGGAAGAACTCGGTCGTCGATTCCCCCACGGTCACTATTGGGCCAGCCGAGGAGCCCAAATTCTTTGGTGGGGACAAGTATACCCATGAGCCCATCAAGCCAATTATGGACTCGTACTTCGAAATATTGAAAAGTTTTTAGGTATGAAAAAATTGAAAGTATGAAACTATATTTTGTTCGTGAAGAAATTCCAAGTTTAAACAAAACTATTATGAAATCCGAATATTTATAGGATTCTACTTGATTGGTGTCAGTACGAAGACAGAGGCGAAAAAAAGGCAAGAGTTCTATTTGGACGATGGGACACGTCATTTTTTAGTAGAGTTCAATTACGGATTTTGTGCTAAATTATTACTCAAAAACTTTAAAAATCCAAAATTTAAAACCCTTCAAAATTATGTATTTAGTAGAAAATACATAAATTTATGTATGACTTAACCTTTTGTATTATTTCACAAGAAATTGGAAAAGTATTTCTCAAAAAATCATCCATAACTATTAATAAACTTGGTCCCCCATGCTACACTAGCATTGAATTTAATGTGCACTTTATTCCATTAAGAAATATGTTAAAATTACATAAATTACATTACAAATTACATAAATTACATTACATAATTGTACATAAGTCAAATGCAAACCAATTCATGGATTTACATATTTCCAAATTCTTTGTTACTTTTTTCACCCAAAATATATCCAAATTATGATTTATTTTTGCACCAAAACTACATATTCTCAAAACTTTATGTATTCATTCAATTAAATAATTGAGCCGTCCCAGGGCACCAGACTACACCCAATTTTCATTAAACAACTCCACCACTTGCCTCACCGTATCATCTTTATTCTAATCCCACCAATTATCCCAATGCTCACCGGGATACAGTGTGAACTTATTTACAACACCTGCCTCTACCAACTTTGCTTGTAAGCTATACATTTGCGATGGCAGAATAAGAAAGTCCAGCGTGCCAAAAAAACCTATCGTTCTTGGCGAATCTGCATCCACGTGGTAGATCGGACTTGCTCTCTCGTACATTTCTGGACATTCCGCGTGGAGACAGGGACCCACACAATTGAAGAATCGTTCAGGTTCGGGATGATTTTCATAGGCGGGAACCGTCAGATCCGTGGGACCCACAATATTCACGACAATCTTCACACTTCGAGTCGACTTATCCCATGCGTATCCATACATTGCTGCCAAATGCCCGCCCGAACTGGCCCCAAATATGGCAAAAGTTACGGGCTGGATGAACGTGTTTCACAAGCAGATAGCTGTCAGGCCAATGTCGTCGAGTTGCTTGGGAAAGCCGGGACTCGCGTGGGTGCTTATGGAAGTAAAAACAAAGATAATTGTATGCCAAAACTTAATTGTAATTTAATTGGATGCCAAAATTTAATCCAGAATTAATCATCTTAATCTCGTAACAATTCGACCACTCCCTTCATCGCCCCTCATCCCTCGTCACCACTGTCCCAGGATCCCCTGTGGATTAAAACGACCACCTTCGACACTCGAGTCGTGTCATTGGAAGGCAGGTAAATATCCATGATTTGGTCGATATCCGACCCGATTTTAGTTAAATTAGTGCAAAATTCAATAAGAATTTTACAAATCGGAACACGAACTTACACAAATAAATGTGTAAATGCTTACCTTTTACCATTGGATTAGATAAATATCTTTCTGCATATAGTCGTGTGGCAGGTCGGGTGCCATAATTTTCCTAAACTGATGGTTATTTGCAGATTATTATTTTATTATTATTCATTTTGTACATACACACTCAAGACTCTTTGTATTACATCGTTCTTTTACAAAATTTACAAAATGTGCAACCGCATAATCCATATTTGTGTTCAGGTACCAAAAATATATTTTTATGAATTTTCCATTCAGTTTTTTTTTAATATCAGAATTTTATATTTCCGACGGATACATAAGCTTTGGCTGGTTACATGCATGCATATTTCTCAATCGTGCTAGTCACCTTACATCTGATATGCGGGGAATTGATTAATTTTACCGAAAATAATCATTTTCCTCAACTTTACCAGGGCCCAATTTCACCAGGGATTTTACAAAATGCACTTTGATTGGCAAAGTGTGACCACAATAAGGGGGCGTAGTTTCCAAAAATCAATAATTTCTGTTCAACCTCAATCTAAAATTGGAGATTAACTATGCCACTGAGGATGAATCAAATAAGTAACACATGCTAATGATTTAATAATTTATTGTCATATTTAACAAAACGTTGGCACAATTGCTACCAAAAATGCGTTCCTGAATCTCGCGTAATTTAAGAAACTAGCATTTATTCCGGTGTCTTCTCAGCTGACTTGGCGGCGACGGGGGCGTTACTTATCGGCGTAACGACACAGCACTGCAAGCCGGCATCACAGGTACCCCCCGGAAAGGACGGAAGTACCGGAAGTGACGGAAGCGACGCGGCACATGTCACTTGACATCTAGTAAAGGGAACTGGTAAGCCGAGTATGGCACCAAGACAGGGTTTGCTAGATGCCTGGGCGGCTGAAACGGGATAAACAATTCGTCAGTGTTTGTGAGCGAATTTATGTGTCTAGAGAGATACACTCTAAACACGGAAAAATTTCAAACGTTTTCAAATTTTCTAAATAACTCACCTGTCGTTTTAATTGGAGAGATGACCAAGGCCACAAGGTTTGTGAGGAGGAGGACATATACCAAAGTTGAGATAATGCGATGAATTCCCATTTTTTACGGGTCAGATTTAGTTTTCACAGAAATTCTTCCTGGTCTAGAGTTGCCTAAGGAGTGGGGAAACTTATAAAAAAACAAGCACCTTTTTATACAAATATTTTCCTGTGTTGGTGCAGGTGAAGTGGAGTGGAGTGGTTATTTTCATCCACAATATGTAGACATAATTGGGGGCTCCATGGGAAGGACAGCCCAGATGTCTCCTTCTTTAGTAAAATGCCGACTTGAGCCGACAAATTACACCCTTTTGCAACCTGGGTACATATTATTATGAAAATAGAAGGGTGCACTCATCTGCTGCTAAAGGTAAAAAGTAAGCAGGTGTTTTTACCTACACTCTTAGGAATCCAGTATTAAATCAATACCAAACTGTATTCATATATGTATCACTCTACAACCTATATGGTATTTATAAGGAATGCCATGTGGTACTATGATAAAAATTTTAAAATTAGACGTTTTGTTTTACAAGCAATACATACAAAAAAGGATCTAATTTTACAATTTTGACAATAGGAAATCCAAGTAGAACATGAAAATGTTCAGAATTTCAAGCTGAATTCAAATATGTAATTAATTTGGGTCTGTCAAAATGTTAAAGTTAGACCCTTTTTTGTGTGCATTACTTATAGACAAAAGCGTCTCATTTTAAAGTTTTGACCATATGTAGAGAGGAAATCCGTCTAACCCAATTCAATGGTAAAGAGGTCTTACAAAACCGTATAATGCTGGCACTGAATAAGTATGGGAGAGCCCAACACCACAGGGTACAACATCCAAAGACACATTTACAGGTCAAAAGTTCCAATAAGTTGACATTTGAATAGCAAATATACAATACAATACAAATTGGAACTCTAATTTTAATACCAAGTGGTAAAACATTCAATACCAGGAAGTAAACGTTTAGATACCTGCATGAATGTTGCAGACTTTCCGAAAGGAAACGACAGGTTGTCGTGGTTATTTTTACTGTGGATGGAATAGATACGCAGGTCCATTGTGGCATTCTTTTAAGGCCAGGCAACTTAAAATTACTTACTTCGAATTGACTTGATTATGCTTAGGGTTTCATTTCAGTTATTGCACCGCAAACGCAGAAGAAATTGGCAGTGCTTCGGGTGCAAGTAACCACCTGCAAGAAATAACCGCAAGAAATTGGTTTCTTGCAGCTACTTTTACCCGCAAGAAATGCAAGAAACGATTTGGGGCGAAATGGGACTCACTTTTAACAATAAGTCAATAAAATAAGTGAAAGTTATTACACCGGTGGACTTATATTGCTTAAACTTTGTGTCACTTAAACCGCAAATTGAGATGAATTTAAAGAAAATTAATTTTGTTGGTTTTGACATTTTTTGAAGCAGAAATTAACTGTCTGAGCCATACAAAATTATTTTTAGTTGCAATCACTAATGAGATGTGTACATACATCAATCACATGTTTAGATATTGTCAAAATAATTAAAGTGGATGCCTCAGTTTACATGGAATTGTAGCTATATATGTATGTAAATTATCCAATGGGCCAATTGCACTAGTGTACATAGGTAAATATGTATGTACATATATAAATATGTGAATAGATAACTATTGACTTACAAGCTGGTGGTATGTACATAACTTTCCAGAAGTATCCAAAACTGCAACTGTAAAATATTAAAGCTCCGTCGAGGAGTATCTGAATTAATGAAGTGCAAGTCAGCAAAGGGGTGAAGCCATACGTAACAAAAAAATATGTATATGTCTGGGTTTTGTTATCAACAATCTGAAGTGGAATTATGCAAAAATGTCGTGTTTGTTGGTATCAACATATACATATCTTTATGGCCAACCATATCAACCCAAAAGTTGAAGTTCTGCCCCCTGGCTAACGAACGCGTTATTTATTTCACTCTAGACTACTGGGTGTTTCATTTCGTAGAGGAATGAAGTAAGGAAAATATGTATGTAGCCCCATCAAGACTCTCGCCCTCTCTAAGAAAATATTACATGTGAAGCCATCATTACATACATTGACTAGAATTTGATACCCACATGTCAAAATGTATTTATCAAGAATTATTGACTTCTGCCATTTTGAATGAATCCGCTAATGGCTAACAATGCATAGGTGCATAGTTTTTACGATCCTGAATAATTAAATTCCTTGCAAAATTAACTTTCTTTAACTTGTCGACACTTCTCTGTTAACGATTACATAAAAACAAATCCTTCACTTTGATCGATACATGTATGTAAATATTTTATAATCAGGATTACGTAATATTACGTAATCCTGCTCCCACATCTACACCGCGATAGTGTCCAGAATTACGTAAACTCCCACCCTTCATTTATTTAATCTCAATCGAAAGTATGAATGTATGTAACACTAGTTCTCATTCCATGGTTAAATTGAACTGGTCAAAATGTTCTCAAAATTTGCATTCGGTGCAATTTCTAGGTTTTTCTACACCCTTCAAAAACTAGACTATACTCCCCCGAATATTTGGAACTTGGAGAAGCAAAAATTTGAAATGGATCCAAAACCGAATAAAATCCGATGGACCTTGTCAAATTTAAATGTTGTGCTTGCCTGGATATTTCTTCCAATTTACATTCTCTCAACAAGAATCGACATTCTAAACTCGACACAAGTTATATTTCTAGTACTGGAACTTTTCCTAGGGATTCATGCCGTTCCTTTATTTTTTAAAGCGTACACCAACGGAGAAGAACTTTCTCTCGGGATGAACACTTATTTCCAAGTGGAAAAATGGTTGCGAGGTAAATACGTTGGAAAATAATGCTTTTTGCAAATTTAAGCCTAAAGGTACACATGTGCAAAAATATTCTATGTATGTACATTTAAGACTTCCTACGTGTAACCCTGAATTATGGATTAATTACTGGTTAATTATTCCTGATTTATGAATGCTTAGTCATAATCAGTGGTTAATCACACACCAAAAAATTTTGAAAGACACGGTTTTAAATTCGAGTTCATTGCGAGAAATTGTAACTCCAGTACTTACATAATTTCGTAATTCTGTAATCTCAAACATAAATATTCACTACCGAGATTACAAAATTAATCAAAATCCTTAATCTTTATTTTCCTAATCAGCATTTCTTAATTAACGATTCATAACTATTCCTTCTCAAAACAGAAAACCTGATCGTCCCAGTCACAGGAAGTGACCCAATCTGGCATCGTGACTTGGTCGGATTAATCTTCAACGGCATGGCTACCTCTTTGCTCTCCTTCATATTTACCGCACCGATTCTCCTCGTGATCGTAGAAATTGACCCGGTCAGCCTTATCCTTCCATACACACCTCCGTCCTCCAGCTATGCCGTACTCCAACTCGCACATTTTCTCCTTCGCCTGCTCCTGGCCACGTTGGCATTGGCAGAAATTGTGTCTACCATTGGACTCGCTCACTTGACCCTGATCATGTTAACCCTGTATTCGAAAACTTGCATTAAACATTTCAAATTATACCATGGCCCGGTAACCAGACGTAGTTCTCAGCAAATTCTTCCCCAAATAAGTCAGAAAAATCTTATGGAAAAAGAACAGTCCAGCAATCAACTCCATGACTTGTCTGATTTCGACCTCTACGTCGTTCTCATGGTGCAATGTCACCTAGTCAGGCAGTATATTGACACGGTCGCTGTTTTTATAATAGCGCCAGGATTTGCTATTATGGTCATTACATTATTGGCAAATTACGTGGTGATTATGCTCCTGGGAAAAATACTGTTGCCGTTGTATCTTATCATAGCGTTGTTAGCCGTTTTGGCTCCCGCCCTGGGTATGGGCGAACTTACAGAAGCGGGCAAAAGTAATGGCTACTCGACCAAATTGCTGAAATATTGGAGAGGAAGCTCTCCAGAGAAGAGGACGCGGTGGGGAAGGAGGAAAATAAGATCGCTACATCCCATCGAATTTTCTGTGGGACCCTTCTTCCTCGTAACACAACGTACTTTTGCCATCTATATGAATGTTATTCTTAACTATACGGTTAATGCGATATTGGTGCTGTAACTTGTCCTAGCTCCATTTTTACATGATAATTTGCACGGATTGTAGCAGAATGGGTACTTTTTAAGCCTTACTAGGGACCCTTCCAAGGTGCCGGTCAAACTCAGGGTTTCCACCTATACCAAAATGTGCACAATACATGACTTCTTTGGTGAACTGAAAGAATTTTCGTGTAAAATTCACTTTTCGTTTTCAACTTGTGACGATATTTGTGACCAAGGTCTGACCATCCAGCGCCATCAGTTTCCAGTGGGAGGAATCCGACATAGGCATGCATACATAGATAATTCAATCTCATGAAAAGATCATCATCCTCATCATCATCATGATTTACACATATGTACATACGTGCATCATTCAGTAAAAATTACGAGTTGGATAATGATGGCGACAGATAAAAACATTTGTAGTCTTTACTATCAGGGTTTCTAAAATTTTGCTCAGACAATTCACTATTTTGCTATTATAGTCCATTTTTCACAATCACTGGAAGAACTTTTTGTTTTAAATTTGAAGTCTCCTAGGTTTTTAATATACAGCTTTGCTACAGCCAAAGTATGGAGTATTTTTGTCCTTCTCCAGTCATGGATGTGTCATTACTCTTTATGTAAGTGGTTGTATATTTTCTTCAGAATCTTCGGAATCTTATTCAAAATTATGAAGTCTTTTAAAACCTTGGATTTTTACTATATGTATATGTGGAAAATGTAACCGTGTATGGTGTTGAGATGAACGGTCACCGTGAATGGACAAAATCAGAGGAATGAATGTGAATGCACACTTCTACAATCTAGTCCGTTATGTAAATCCGAAGCTGCATGATAAGCAAAATACTACATGCAAAGTTGAATTACTGTCCACTAAAGAAAGTATCAGAAGTTCTTTCCCATTTCTTAATGTTGGCGCGCGAAGTTTAAAATTTAAATTCATGCTGAAATTTACAGAATTTACATAATAGCAATTCTGATACATAAAACAGAAGTAAATTATTACTTTCCGTTCAAAAATGCTAAATAAAAATGCAGCGAACTTGAATTCTGAAGCGAGTAAATCTGACTTATTAACCAGTGTGTCGTCTTTTTGCAACACCAGTGGAAAAATTTTCAAGTCAAACTTCTCAACAGATATATTTTTACCCTCATTGGTCAACCAGTTGACCCATTTGGCCCATCTACGAACTTAGCCTTTATATACTTTCACCCCATATGTTTAAAATTTGGAGTCGATTGGTTCAGCTGTATTGTCCCAGTCGGGGACAATACAATTGTGCCGGACAGACAGACATGCACAGCGGTTGCATATGCCCTGACTCGGGCTAATAATTAGCTGATGCATTTATTTAAGCTAAGCGAATCGAGCTGGGTTGGCTAGTGTTACATTAAATTGTGAACAGATTATGTTAAAAATCCACTAAATGCATTGGAGTAGATCCACCATTCGCATTACTTATTAATTCTCCCTTGTAATCCAACTATAAGCTGCACCATTTTCCAACCAGAACGCGAGTCCTGCTGTCATGGTTGTATTACTGTGAACTTGTTAGACCCGATAATAAAGCATCAATAAATCAATCATGCACACTTACCAATTACCTATTTAATACCTACATATATATTTAGATATTATTACTATTTAAAAAAATTAGCGCCAGAACGTTCTGACCATACAAATTTCTTTCTTTCAATTATATTCCCGCGTAAGACATCTCAACTCAAAATCCCAGACTTAGATATTTTATTAGATTAAATGCCGGTGTAACAAAACAAATTTGCAGATTCCAATCTTCGATCAAACTTGGATTGATTTATTGAAAGAAAAACTTAATATTATTCATTAAAAGATATTGCACATATTAACTCAATCAGTACAACGAATTTGTCGATTTTATCGGGAGCGGATGACATTCCGTATTCATGACCCACTGTTCCAGAGAAATTAGGTCGTTTGTACTAAAGATTAAGTACAAGTACTGAAAAAAAGTTATAAAATCATGTCCACCATAAATACACACGAATTTGTCATCTTTAATTAATTAATTTACCTTTAAGGTTTCCGCGAGGAAGAAAGTTTGCTGAACATCGTCCTGAACGGGGTTCACGGAATTTGTATTTATCAGACCGCTGTAACCTCGGCCAGGGCCGGCTTTTGAATATCTCTCAATTGATTGTGCCGCATCCCCTGAAACGCATTATTAGCATATTTAGATAACACATTGCTTATCATATTAACGTAATCACTACTAACAATGCAAGGTTTTCTCGTGTAATACTGGGATATTGATGGGACTAATTTTAATTTGTTCCTACCCAAAAATAAGCGGACCCGTATTTTTGCTTTTTTCTTAATGCGCGCATTTGAGCGCGTGGCGGGCATTTCAAATATTTTTTCAGCCCAAAAGTCCGAGTTTAAAATGGCTGTAACTTTTTGAATTTTAGCGCGAATTAAAAAACTAAAAACATGTATGCTTAGAATTACTTCCTTTATAATATAAAATTTCATTTTTTAAATTTTTTAAAAATTACAATTTTTGGTAGATTTGCTATTTTTTCGAAATTCGAAATTTGGGCAAAAATTGTAATTTTTAAAAAATTTTAAAAATGAAATTTTATATTATAAAGGAAGTAATTCTAAGCATACATGTTTTTAGTTTTTTTAATTCGCGCTAAAATTCAAAAAGTTACAGCCATTTTAAACTCGGACTTTTTGGCTGAAAAAATATTTGAAATGCCCGCCACGCGCTCAAATGCGCGCATTAAGAAAAAAGCAAAAATACGGGTCCGCTTATTTTTGGGTAGGAACAAATTAAAATTAGTCCCATCAATATCCCAGTATTACATGAGAAAACCTTGCATTGTAAGCTAAACAATTATATCGTACAAGCCCAATCCCGATATTTTGTATCTCCCGTGATCCGATACATTATGTAATACGATTCAATCACTTCCGGTCGAAGAATGTATCCTCTTTGACTATATAGTCAAAAAATTTTGCTTCAGTTACATACATAACTTAATTTGGTACGAATTTTACAAGTTTTTGAATATAATAGGCAGGTTGAGCAAGCGTCAAATATTGTGATTGTACTGTAAATTTGATTGTAGAAGTATATAATTTCCTATCTCTACAATCAAAACTACAGTCACAATCACAAAATTTCACGCTTGCTCAACCTTCCTAATATGGTTTATCTACTCATCATTTCCAGCCTCGGCTTCAAGAGTCTCCGTGAATTGGAAGACTTCTGGTCCTATAAACAATCAAATTTCATTCAATTTTAAGGAGAAAAAAAAAGATTTATTTAATTACTTCATAAAAATAATATCTAACCAATTTGTGTAGCTGTACGAATATAACTTTCGTGACAAGTTGTTGTAAAGTTCTTGCCAACTTCGGCATCACGAACTGCATTGGAATTACTGGGATCAACATGCGCTCCTAGAACGAACATTCCACCAGCGAAACAGGCCAAATGTCCGACAACATCTTGAATTTGGCCTCCTCTGGATTCGGCTATGTACAAGAGATGATTTTGTCGGGAAACTTTGACGAGGCCATTGTTGAAAAATCTGTACAATATCTAGAATTAGTTTATTCTAAACACGGTTTCTATTATAAATTCTTCAATCGTATATCATAATTATTCATCTGAATATTTACAAAAAACATTCGAAAATCTTATCCACCCGATTTCTTAAAGTTATCATGAGTCGGCATACCTGTGCAAAAAAATTTTCCCTCATTAATCCTTCATTCATTGACATCGAATTTGTAGACCCCTTCATTCCCTTCATTCATTTTCCCTCAAATTCACTTCATTCGCCCTTCATTTTCATGACCCCATGTATTTAACATAGGGATGAAAATGAAGGAAATGAAGCCTTCCTTCATTCAGCATGTGAGGCAATCTCCTTCATTCATTTAATTCATTTTGAATGAATGGAGCCTTCATTCGCCCTTCATTTCAGCAAAATGAATGAAGGTGCACTGGCATGTGAGTCGGTAATATATTTACAACCATAGCGGTATAGCTACATACGTGGATTTAAATTCTGCCTATAATCATAACCTGATTTGTAATGTAATTGTATGTAATAATTGTACGAAAAAACTCATTCTTACCCATCCATCGCTTCATCATACATCATTCGCCCTTCCCCATCATTCAACTGAATTGCAGCTTTCAACAAATATTCGTAATAAGAATCTCCAAGAGCTCCGATTGATACGTGATCTTAAAAATAAAATTATCTTGAAATGAAATATTAGGGAGGTTGAGCAAGAGTAAAATTTTATGATTGTGACTGTAATTTTGATTGTAGGGATAGGAAATCCTGTACTTTTACAATAAAATTTACAGTACAATCACAATATTTGACGCTTGCTCAACCTGCCCATTATATTAGGTTTGACTATTAATTTTTTTTCCAACCATCTGTAAATCTTCCTTCAAAAATGTGCAAATGATTTGGATAAAGACCATTCGGTTTCTCAATTTGCTTCAAGAATTGACGAATTGTTTCCACCTTTTCACGGAAAATTGGATTGCCAGTGATTTCAGAGAGGTAGACAAATTCAAGGTGAAGTGTTCCAAATTCGGCTAAGACAGATTCGACATTATTTCTAGGCTCCCCAGTAAGAACGTTTACATGGGAGTAGGGAATCTTTATAAATAATAATCCATATGTAAGTTTTATACTATTTCTCCATAAACGCGGGCAATTTGAATTAAACCTTATTTTTATTGTATTACCCCAGTTGGCGTGTCGAACGCAGGCAAGAGTTTTGTTGCAATCTCAAGAGCTCTATCTCTATAAATTGTATCTTGCGTTAATGCATAAGCTGATAAAAATCCACCCACAAATCGGATATTGGTTTCAAACACGGAAACTGTAGCATTCTATTTACATAGTTGAAATTATTTCGAAATATATTCACATTTTGATACCAAAATGGTATCAACAAAAGTTTGTAAGGAAGAGGACGTACAACATTGAGATCCAACTGATTAGCCACGAAACCTCTCGCTGTCTCGTACTCTTCCATCATTTCCATGATGTACAGGGTGTCCAGAGAGTCAACAATTGTCGCCCCGATTCTGGAATCTCCGAAAATATCGCCATGTTGGCCAGTCTGTGAGACGGGTTTTAGTTCATTGTCTTCCCATGCCCACATAACTAAAATATCATTTTACATACATTGGATATTATTTTGATATTATGTTTCTCGGAAAAAATTTACCAACCATAATCATCCCATGCGTCCTTCATCATCTAGAGTGACACAAGTAAGGTGTGTAATATGTTATCATGTTTTAGATTATGTTCATTTGCCCTCTAATTATTAAATGCTTGAAAAATATGGTGTACGTAACCACCAAGTTTTGGCAGAAATATACTAAAGTTCAATGCATGACACCTACCTAAATATCTGTTTAAGTACTTTTCACGCAAATTTACCTAAATTTGTACCAGGCTTTATTAATAATGAAGCTCAAACATTACGCAACTATTCGTTCATTGTGCCAAATATTGTTCGGAATATTGATTTATTTAGCAAGTATTCAACTTAATCTTCTTTTTTTCAGAAAAGCTGTTCCTGCCCGTTCGGAAATGGTAAATGTTACAAGATCTCTAAATCACTTTGTATATACATGAACACTCTAAAAACCGTGGTAACAACGGGTTACCGTTTGTACTCTACATTTGTACATTTGCCTATTCCGCATATTTAGATAATAAAAGTACTACCGAGCAAATAATTTATTACCGCACGGTTATATTTATGTCAAGTGCGGTGACAGTTTATTACCACTGGGTATCTAGCAAGTTTATTATTAGCGGGGAATATTCATACATAGAGTACAAACCGTAACCGTTTTTATAGTGAGTACAGTATGTCAAAAATTAAAGTACTCAAAATTTTGGTACCTCGTTCACCCTTTGTCATGTCATACACAGTAAATATATCCAGATCATATTTTTATAGTTTATTCATAATCAATCTGTCAAGAAATGTGCAAAATTTGAAACTGATCGGACCAAAAATGACCGTTGTAGAAAATATATTGCCGAGAAAAATGAAAATTCAATGTCAAAAAATAAAGTACTAACGACCTTTCAGAATTTATACGAGAACATATGATTTTAAAATACATTTTTTTTAAAGTCAATTCACCTGCTTAACAAACTCCCTTCGAGCACGAATGACGGGATCAGGATCTTCACCTTCCCTCCCTTGTGTTATGACTGCCTTACCGTTTTCCAAATTTGATGTTGCATCCTGTCGTACTGGAATTGCCCATGCCATCGCGATAAGGTTCAGACAGCCCAAAATAAGAAAACTAACAAAAACTTTCATCTTGGTTGGGTAAAAGAGTCAAATAGAGAAAACCAGTTCTGATTCTTTTCGTCCTCCTGAGGTTAAGTTGAAGGTTAAAATATTATTTTAAGCGATTACGAGTAAATATCTTCTAGTTTTTCTAAGATTATGTATCAATTGTAAAAATATATCCGACCTTTGCTTTATACATACATAAGTACATACCTACATAATAATAAAGTAGACTAAAATGGTTATCTCATTATTACTCTGTTATATCGATAAGATAACATGATTCTGCACATAATGCGCAATGGTGTGTTAAGGGCTCCAGAGTTCATGTCATCATCATGTCATGCCCCCTTTCTGATTTTTTGATTGGCTGATGGAAATTATCCCCATAACAATTAAAAATTTCAACCAATCAAAAAATCAGAAAGGGGGCAGACATGATGATGACATGAACTCTGGAGCAGGCTTTAGGCCTGGGAAAAAAGATGACTGAATCGCAATCTTGTGTTCATCACTGTGTCAATTTAAAATTCAAATTTTGCTACTAATTTGTAGTTAATTTTAGATATACATAACTTCCAGCAGAGGTGGTAAAGATTCGAAACCAAATTTTTATAGCAGTGTAACTTGTTATATTTATTGCCATAATTTCAGATTGAAACAACTTACGAATCGGGGATAATTACACTAGCTATGTACAAAAAGTCAGCATGTGGTTGAGCCATGCTTTGTTGAAGTCTCTTTATTTTGGACTTATTACACGACCGCAAAAATATACATATCTACCTATATTATAATTTACGAAAGTGCGTCCCGTTGAAATTTTCCGTGACATTCCTGCATTCTGATTATAATATATTTTGGATATACTCAATATTTTGGATTGACCAATAAGGGCGCGTTCATGATTTTTTGAATTAAAGTATTACTACAATACAACTATGATTTGGCCTTCATTCTTGCCTTCATTCTAGCCATCATTCTTACCATCATTTTGGCCATCATTCTGGCCATAGTCTTAACCATGGTTTCTTATTGCCAGAAATTATGTCAGAAATTCCTTAGCAACGTCATAAAATTCCTTGCTAACGTTAAAAAAATTCCTTAGCAACGTTAAAAAATTACGTAGTACCGTTAAAAGTATTCCTTGGCAACGTTAAAAATTCTTTGGCAACGTTAAAACAATTCGTCCACAACGTTAAATAATTCCTTGGCAACGTGAAAAAATTTCTTAGCAGCCCTACAAAAATTCCTTCAGCGTTAAAAAAATACGTAGTAACGTTAAACAAGATCATTAGCGACGTTAAAAACATTCTTAGGAACGTTAATAAAATTCCTTACCAACGCTAAAAAAATCCTTAGCAACTTTAAGAAATCCCTTAGCAACGTTAAAAACATTCCTGCAGAAAAAAATTATGTATCTTCTCAAGATTTAACAAAACTCCGAAGCTGCGTTAAGGAAAAGGTGGCAGCGTACAAATTATTATCGCCCGCCTTTATGACGGGCTTATATGCTAGTGTATTACATAAGACATAATTTATTCAAAATATTTATCAACAACTTAAAATATGATACGTTTTCTTCGGAATTTTGAAAATTGACCTCGCTATCCAGTGAAGAAGTACAAAATTCGTTACATGAGGCCAAAATAAGCGTTGGTTTGGCATTTTTGATTCCATACACTAAATTCCTTACTTTTTTATGAGAAAATGAACGTATTTACTAATTTTATGTAAAACTAAGCATGTTTGAGTACACTAGAATTTTATAAATCTCAGTATCAATGCATCAACCTTATACTTCCATGGAGAGGTAAATTTTGAAAATTGAGAAATCATATTTTAATTCCTTCATAAATTTAGAATAACTCACGTCTAAACGTTTTTAATGTCGTGGAATAACTCGAAAATAAAGAGACTTCGACAAGGCATGCTCCGTATATTGAGCTTTTGTAGCTAGTGTATGTAATTATCTAAACATTTATGTATGATATGATATGTCATCAATATCAAGGTTGTTTTACTTGGGGGGTTGCTGGGGAGAATAATCTGAAGCTAATACAGGTTGTGTCGGTTTATTCGATTTTTCAAAAAATGAAAAAAATTCCGGACTTTGGGACAGTGTACTCTAGGGCAAAAAGGCATGCCTGCCGTAAACGTGCCGTAAATGCCGTAAATGCCGCGCAAAAATTGATGCCTCTTTGCCGTAAATGCCGCGCAAAAATTGATGCCTTTTTGCCGTAAATGCCTTTTTCAAAAATGGGGCAAAATAATACAGTGACTCCATGTAAAGTTGTTTAGTGAATATTCTTATTAGAAATTAAATATATGTAACTTAATACTTTAACAATTCAAGTTAAGCTGTTTGCATGACTTTATCGCTAGCAAGTTGTTGGCAACATAACAACATCTAATAGGGCATAAGTATATACATTATAATGTACATATTCACGTATGTACGTAATGGTGTATTTTTTATTCGAAATCCTAAAAAGCTGTGTTATATAAAAGGTTGTGTTGTATAAAAATATTTTCAAATCTTGTTTTTCAACAAGTAGTCATATATAGTTTAAAATTTTGTACGTCTAACTTTAGTGACAAGGGGTGCTTTAGTTTGTACATTTTAAAAGTCTACATTTCATATATATATGTATGTATTATACATACATACATTATAAGCATATAGAATTTGTATTCATTTCGTCTCAATCTTAAAATGTTTTTTTTCATTTTAATGAAAAGAAAGAAAAAAGAAAATCGATTCCTAGTGTTTTTATGCTTTAAGAGGTTCTCACAATTTGACCGCAGATTGTAATTTCCGGCATTTACGGCACGTTTACGGCAAAAAGGCACGGTTTACGGCAATCCGGCGTTGAAAAAGGCATTTACGGCAAAAAGGCATAATTTTCGGCATGCCTTTTTGCCAAATAGCGAACACTGCTTTGGGACTCCACCCCTGAATTTACCTAACGATATATTTTTATGCTTGACAACGCCTTGGGAAGTCCCAAACTCCGGAATTTTTTCATTTTTTGAAAACTCGAATAAACCGACAGAACCTGTATTAGCTTCAGATTATTCTCCCCAGCAACCCCCCAAGTAAAACAACCTTGCATCAATATTCTTACCTTTTCCCTATTGCTTGAATTGAATCCTTGTTTTCCGAAGGGGTGAAATATTTATCTGACGCAAAATGGGATAAGTTGGACTGAAAGAGATCTGATCGCAAATTGGTCTACGTGTCAGTATTTGTCCATGGTATCATTTTTGCTTATCTTGTTTTTATGAGCTTTCTTCAATGCCATTAAGGTATTTGATACTACAGTATCTCTTATTTTGACATATGTATGTATCTGCTTGTTATCAATCACACTTGCATTCCTGGCACACTATACCTCTCAATGGGAGCCGGACAATTGCCGGCCCTCAATTGCCGGCCCTCATTCCCCGGCATCCTCAATTCCCGGCTTCCTCAATTGCCGGCATTTCGAATTACACTGGGGTTTCGACTGTGCTTAGTCCATGGAATTAAACACCATGCTAGAAAATTCCAGTCATCAGTGAGAGAGCAACACCCTCATACCCCGTTTTTCGTCATTGTGCAGTGCACGTCTCAAATAAATTACAATCAAAACGGGGCCCTAACCTAACATAACTAATCAGAAAATTAACTCCAAAATTATCACAAAAAAATCAAATTTTCAAAAATCAACTCAAATTACGAAAACGTATCAAATCAAATAATAAAAACGTGCATTAATCCACTCTAAAAATAAAATTTTGATAATTTATTTTTTGTGATGGAGTTAATTTTCTGATTAGTTATGTTAGGTTAGGGCCCCGTTTTGATTGTAATTTATTTGACATGTGCACTGCACAATGACGAAAAACGGGGTATGAGGGTGTTGCTCTCTCACTGATGACTGGAATTTTCCAGCATGGTGTTTAATTCCATGGACTAAGCATAGTCGAAACCCCAGTGTAATTCGAAATGCCGGCAATTGAGGAAGCCGGGAATTGAGAAAGCCGGGAATTGAGGATGCCGGGAATTGAGGAAGCCGGGAATTGAGGATGCCGGGGAATGAGGGCCGGCAATTGAGTGCCTGGAATTGAGGGCCGGCAAAAGTCCGTGACCCCCTCTCAATTATACTGCTATCAGTGTTTCATGAGGTATGTAGTTTAACTTTAGTTTGAATAAAATACGGGGGTATTCCCATATTGATTCCGAAAAGGTACAAGGACTAATTTCAGAACTATCCTTCAATCTGGTGTTGGCTGATCTTCCTTATCAGCTAAAAAGATGTTTCGCACAAACTTAAGATTTTTAACATGAAGAACACAATCTGAGCGAGAAAACAGCCAACGCTGGTTGACAAACTTAAATTATATTCACCAGGCTATGAGTTGTCTCTTACATAAGTGGATAGGAGTCGCAATGTTTATTGTTTACTGTTTATTTGTGTTTTGTTTTGTTTTGTTTACGGTTTGTTTACGGTTTGTTTAAGAAAAATAAACAAAACAAACCGAAACCGAATTATATTAAACAAAACAAAACAAAGTGCCTTAAACAAAACAAAACAAATATGTTTCGTTTATTTTGGTCACCACTTGAGACTTTAAGATGAGAGATGAGACTGTTAAGTGACAAGTCTGGGAAGACTTAAATCACTTCTGAATTCATTTTAATGTCTCGTTACCACACTTTACGATTATTTCTACACGAACTCCATTCTGTATCTCTAATTAATTAGATTTATTTAGCTTCACTAAATTTGTAGTTATTAGGCTGAAGTTTGATCTGATTGCAATGTCGGAATCATCAGATTTGGTTATTGAGTTAGATTCGAGAATACCTGGTAAAAAGCGTGCCAAAATTTATGAATATTATAATTATATCGAAGCTACTTCTGAGTACAAATGTGTACATTGCAAGTAAGGACATAATATATTAATTTAAATTTTTGAGTTATTCCTAA